ACTCGGCCGACACAACCAAATTAACGTCCTTGAGCACATGTTCATTTCCAACGAGATGGTTGAAAATGCTCGACTCAGTCACCGAGTTCTTCTTCTTCCTATGTTGGATGGAAAATCTCACGATATCCGTCAACATTGCGTTCGAAAACCTACGAACACCTTTCAACCCGCCCATAACAACTCCCGGGTCGACCGAGTTCTTCGGAGTCCACTCGCTCTTCTCCGAGTTCCTCCTCCCGTGCTTGCCGGAACTCGATTGGGCAGCAAGCCCTTTTAGGAAAACAGACTCGGGGCTATGATTCTTGACTCGGCCGAGCGGGTCGCCGAGTAGCAACATGTCTTTTATGTCAACCAGAATCACATTCTTGAAATTCCTCCTGACCCGACCCAACAGCATCGGGTAGCAAGCCCACCGCCGCAGTCCCATCGGGACGTGGTCGAGAAACCCGGATAGCGCGTTCTCCGGGTCGAGCTCGTCGGCGTCGAAGCCCACCACCGAGCCGTAACTCAACCCGTCCGACTCGCTGGAATTGCCCCGATTCCGCCTCCCCCAAATCGGCTCTCCACTGTCTGTCCCCTTCTTACCCGATTTAGCGAAATGGGTCGGATCGAAACCGGTCGGGAGGGTCGTGAGATTGCCGTCCGACCGGTACCGACTCAGGAGCTCGACGAACGAGTCGCGCTCACGGACGATCAATCGGTTGAATCGGGAGGCGGCTCCGGACGGGAAAACCAGAGCAAGGTCGGCTCTGGCGGCGAGTCCCGACCGGAAAAACAAACGGAGGAACAAACGGAGATCGGTCGGGGAAAGGGACTCGGCGGTGTGGGCAACTACTAAGTCGGCCACGGCCCTCGTGCCCAGCGCGTACAGCGTGCCAACGCCCTGCAGGGCGCGGGGCAGAGCGGCGGAGGGGGGTGGGGACTCGCGGAGCCGCGGAGGTGCCGCCTGGGCACGAAGACGGCGGCGGCGGCGGTGTTGGTGGCGGCGTGGGGGAGGGTGGAGAGGGTGAATAACAGAGCTTTTG